GATTGTGACCAATCACAGCGCACCACTGGCCCCCACTTTCGTGAGAAATCTACAGGTCCCTGTTAGCATAGACGGCTGAGTTAGCACAACAACTCAGCGGCGGCACGGTGGCTGAGTGGATAGCACTCTCGCCTCTCAGCAAGAAGGTCCTGGGTTCGAATCCCGGTCGGACCAGGGCCTTTCTGAGTGGAGTTTGCATGTTCTCCCCGTGTCTGCGTAGGTTTCCTCCGGGTGCTCCGGTTTCCCCTACCACTAAAAATATGTCCAATAGTTCTGGCATGCGCCTCCTGTACTGGCCCCGCTCCCATCTCTGTGTGGAGTGAGAGACAAATGCCCAAAATTAACAATTGTAAACCGCTTTGAGACTCAGATCTGCAGTGAAAAGGCGGTATATAAATAAAAACTTACTTACTTACTTACTTACAACAAGCGGCGGAGCTAACCTGAAGCCAGGGCTCGACTGGCCATCGGGCGTACCGGGCAATGCCCGAAGGGCCGATGCCCATATTTGGGCCGGTCTGTCTGCCTCATACAAAAAACATGTTTGTGAAAAGTGTAAATCCGTTGAGAAATGTTCGAGGGGAGCGCGCGTGTCCGCGGGGCACCTGCTGTATGTACTCGAACGGGATTCCACCACCTCAGCGGCCGCAGTGTTCCCGCATCCAGCAACTCTGAGCTGGACGCAGGAACCGCTCAGCGGGAACCGCTCAGCGGGAACCGCACAACACGGTGAACGCGTAGCCGCAACGTGACCATGTACCCAAGACCATAAACGCGCACAGGACCATGCATATCTTTTCGTAATTTGTGCACCCAATAAATACACCGCTGCAGAAAACAGTCCACGTCTCCCCTCTCCTCTAAATTAAAGCTCCGGTACCTAAATTTTCCATTGCGTTAATGTTTGAGCCCAAAAGTAATATGTTGTGAACAGATTAAACAGATTTAAAGCCAGCTAATGGCTGACAATATGCATTTCAGAAATGTTTACCAATTCTCATCCCTGTAACAAACAATAGTATTGTCTGTGCCCACCTCCCTCACTCTGAGACATGGTTATTACTCTGTTTAATGTAGATTATTGTACTTTATTGTACTATTTTATTGTTGAAACTGCAGACATCCTGATCCTCTCAGTATTTGCTTCCACATACTGTATAAACCAGGGGTCGGCAACCTTTAGTGCTCCTAAAGTGGCTCCTGGAGCCTTTTCAAAAATGTCTGATAGTGGAGTGTGAGGGCTATATTTTATTTCTAGTTTCAATGTGGTTTCTGTAGGAGGAAAAACATTAACGTTTTTCAATGCTGCAAAAACTTGTATAAGTAATATTCAATTTTAGCATTTCTGTCAACGTAGTGCGTCATATCCTGTGACGCGGCCCGTGCCAGGCTGCAATGAAAACACACGTTTGATAATCATGAATGGTTTTTATGTGTTTTCGCCTTTACTTTGTCATTTAGATATTAGGCTAATATAGCTAATGTAGCTAAGGTAGCTAAGGTTGCTAATGTAGCTAATACAGCTTCAGCCCCTGTTACCTTCATATAAGCCTTATACAACGCTGTTTTTAGTTTTTTGTCAAATATGGCTCCTTGAACCTTTTGAGTTGCCTGGGCCGCTAAAAAGGAAAAAATGCCCGGGCCGTTTTTTTGTCCCAGTCCAGCCCTACCTGAAGCTTCCTCGTCTTCGTCACCGGTTACTGCTTACACAGCGAGACAGCCAAAAGAATGTCTTGTTCCTCCGCACTTCCTGGTTCTATCGTTCTATGGTCACGCCATACACGTGCAAATCCATATCCATGTATTATCCATATTGGGAGACGCTAGCTCCAACAACAACAGTGTGTGTGTGTGGGGGCGATAGCTTCGTGGGTGCGGGGAGGGGAGCAGAAAGAGAGAGGCCAGAGAGTCCACGGCTTCAAAATCCCAAAGTCAGTTTGTGCAGATTTAATCCACACTTTACTGCCACAAACTCTGCTCGTTTGGCTCCCGCTCTGACTCCACTCTAACTCCCACTCTGATTGGTCAGAGCGCAGCCCCTTTGTGCACGTGCCTTGAAGCCACACACACGTATTTGGCGCAATGCATCATGGGAGCTCGTCTACTGCGCAGGAACACCAAAACTCGCTACCCCGGTGAGGACCAGTCCCCTATCACACTCTAACTTAGCCCGAGTTCTCTCTCGGGTGTCCGTGGTCCCCCCAAGTGCACTCTACATATGAGCGATCCACCAAAGCGTTCAATCTGAAATAGGGCGCCATGCTCTTGCAGTCAAGGTGGGCCACCTATGGTGCAGGGGAGGGGGGGGGGGGGGGGGGGGGGGGGGGGGGGGGGGGGGAATAAAGCCTATAGCGTGCCATTTATTTTCGTATCTATCCAGCCAACACACAAGGAGCCTCACATGCGTCTAACCATCGAGCCTGCAGGACTATGGCATCATGGTGACGCGAGGACACAACACACATACTGTGAGTCTTGTAGAGATAGACACCCATTTTGAAGTACGAAGCGAACATACCCATGAAGAACAATTAACCAGACCAAGAGAGAGCCAGAAGTAGACCAGAGAGAAGAGGGGCGGGGTGGAGGGGGAGTAAGAAAGGACCAGCAGACGAAAGAAAAACTCCCGAAGAACCGACCGTGAAACGGCAGCAACTAGCAGGAGAGGGAGACCCGGCAAAGGAAAGAAGACGTGACACCAGCAATCAATGGCTATTCGAGCTGCGTGGATGTCTACCTAGTGGGAGGGGTGATGAGAGGGGGGGGAGGGGGAGGGGGGGGGGTGTGAGGGATATTATTCTCGCAGAGAGTGAGACCAAGTGAAGAACAGGAGTACACCAGAGGAGAGTCTGGCGACATATATCTAGGGGGATTGGAAGAAGAGGACAAGAGTACACAGAAAGAGGTGATAGGCACTCAGTAGGGGGGGGGGGATGGGGATAGGGTTATTAAGGAAGGAGCCTACAGAGAGAGGAGCAGGGAAGGGATGACCAAAGAGTAAGGACCTAAGCAAGCACGAAACAGCAGGTGTGAACAGTGATGAAGACCTAGAGAGGGATAATTAGGGGGGAGGTGGAGGTAGCATGGGGATAAAACCGTCTGAGAGTGGAGATCAAGCAAGGGCCAGAGAGACCTAAGGGAAGGAGGAAACTGAGGAAAGGTGTACTCAGACAGAGAGAGAGACCTAGTGCTGTAAGAAACAAAGAACCAGAGACCCGATCGAGATTGAGGAGACCAGCCAGACTTGACACAATGAGAGGGAACGATGGAGTATGCGGGGGGATATAATTAGAGTGGGAGCGCGAATATGGAGCGAGAGCATACTTAGGGAATAGATATATAACTATCTATAGGGGGGACACACTATGAGAAGAGAGACCGATTGAGAGAACCAGAGAGACCGATGACATTAGTAGAAGATAATAAGGCGTCGCGTGTGTGAAACCCAGTATCTTTGACATAGTTTAGACAGTATGTCACAGGGGACGAGTTAGGTATCATATTGGGGTTGCTTCAAAGAGTGGATGTGGGGGGGGGGGGGGAGACACACTATATATATAATAGAGGAGGGAGACAAAGAGAGAGCTAGAGAGGATATACACCAGAATGAGACCGAGGAGTGAGAGAGACCACACGAAAACGACCAGCAGAGACGACAACTGGAGGAGGAGAACACTTGTTGTAGTTTGGGGATATAACGTGAGACCAGAGGAGACTACAGAGAGACCAGTACGGACCAGGTAGAGAGAGCCATGGAGATACAAATTGTAGGACGGCCGGGCGGCCCGCGGAGGGACGGGGCACCAAGAGAGAGTACCAGAAGAGCACTAGAGAGAGACCCAGCTAGAAGAGACCAAGCAGAGAGACCATAGCGCGACTAGAGAGAGAGCGCGAGAGATGACCAGCAGCAAAGGAGACACACAGGGGGATGAGACCCCAGAGAGCAGGAGCGCAGAGAGAGACGGACCAGAGAGAAGACCCGACAGCTATACCGATCCGTCCCCACTACCGCAAGCAGGAAGGTCAGCGACGTCCTCTACTCGACGGACGACCACGACGTCGGACCCACCTAATAGAAAAGTAGCTACGAAGAAGGACAAGGGAGGGGCCCCGGGGGTTAGTACCAGGTAAGACCAAGAGGAAAGCACCGGGACCAGACGAACTGATGAGGGCGGCGGGGGGGGGCGGGGCGTACCCGCAGAGTAGAGACCTCAGCAGAGAAGACCCCAGAAGAGAGTGACCAAGAGGAGTACGACAGAGAGCACCTAGAGAGAAGCACATCCAATGTAAGAGCCTAGAGAGTCCCTGAAGTAGAACCAGGAGAGGGGAGGTATCCAAGGGGGCACCCCGACAGTGAGCCATAGACGCAGAGCCAGTGGTAACTGAGAGCCTACCTAGAAGAGTAGGGCACCAGGGAGGGGCCTCCTGGCGGGGGGGGGGCGGGCGGGAGGGATGGGGATTTACCACAGTACGGGAGACTGACTCTAGAGATGTCGACGACACGCTATACCACACAGAGAGAAGAAGAGACCCCTGAAGAGACTACGCTAGCAGAGAGACACCAGTATAGAGAGAGACGCCAGAGAGAGACCCCCCAGAGAGAGACCATGCAGAGAAGCACCGTGTCCAGAGAGAGACCAGGAGAGAGACCCCCAGAGAGAGAACCAGAGAGAGTAGGACCAAGGAGAGACCAGAGAGAGAGGACCAGAGGAGAGCGACCAGGAGAGAGACCAGAGAGAGACCCAGAGAAGAGGACCAGAGAGAGACCAGAGAGAGACCAGAGAGAGTCCAGAGAGAGACCAGAGAGAGACCAGAGAGAGACCAGAGAGAGAGACCAGAGAGGAGACCAGAGAGAGACCAAGAGAGACCAGAGAGACCAGAGAGGGACCAGAGAGAGACCATAGAGAGACCAGAGAGAGACCAGAGAGAACGACAGCCAAAGAACACACAGACGGGGGAGCGCATCCCACGCAGCAGTCGCGCAACGCAGACGAGAGCACATGCAGACAGGAGGCAGCAGGCGGAAGAACCAAAGCCAAGATAGACACACGCGCAACCAAGGAGACATACAGGAGGAAGAACCAGTACGTAGAGCACGCCTACCAGGAGAGGAGGGAGACACAGACAGAGACAACTACCAGCGCTCACCGCTACCCACAGCACTTTCACATACCAGGACGGCCCAGCTCATCCCACTTCAAATTGGGAATCCAACATCATATCAAGAGAGACAGGACTAATCCAGAGTTAACCGATTCATCAAATACAAAACTTATTAATCGAGAACAGCAATAGAGAAGGTCCAGGAGAACTAAAGACAGTGCAATCACGGGCAAAGCACACCAACCGAGTGTCACACCACAACAGAGTATACTACAACAACCTCACACACAAAACACACACAACACACACACACAAGAGACACCACAGGGACCACACAACACTGCGACTCCAAATTACACTGCATCGCAAGTCTCGGGGGGTGGGGAGTGGGGGGGGGGGGGTGAGGGGGGGGGGGGCGTAAACAAAATAGGGTGGGAGGGGGGGGGCAAACTAGGGGGTGACGGGTGGGTTTATATGGGGAGATGGGGGGGATTGGTTTTTTGGTGGTTAGATTTTGGTTAGGGTTTGAAGGGGGGAGTGTGTTTGACATAGCGGTGTGTGTGGTGGAATATTGGGGGGGGGGGGTAGGATTGGGGGGGGGGGGGGTGGGGGGGTGGGGGGGGGGTGGGGGGGGAGTGTGAGTGCAGGGGGGGGGGTGGGGGTGGAGGGGGGGGGGGGGGTGGGGGGGGGGGGGGGGGGGGGGGGGGGGGGGGGGGGGGGGGGGGGGGGGGGGGGGGGGGGGGGGGGGGGGGGGGGGGGGGGGGGGGGGGGGGGGGGGGGGGGGGGGGGGGGGGGGGAGGGGGGGGGGGGGGGGGGGGGGGGGGGGGGGGGGGGGGGGGGGGGGGGGGGGGGGGGGGGGGGGAGGGTGGGGGGGGGGGGGGGGGGGGGGGGGGGGGGGGGGGGGGGGGGGGGGGGGGGGGGGGGGGGGGGGCACAAAGAAAGGGGGGGGTGGGGGGGGGGGGGGGGGGGGGGGGGGGGGGGGGGGGGGGGGTGGGGCGGGTTTTTGTATGTCTTGGGTGGTGTTTTATGGGGGGGTTTTTTTTTTTTTTGTTTATGAAGTTAAATGTGTTTTGTGGGGTATTAGTAGTTAAGTGAGGGGGTTGTGGGTATGGGGGTATGTGAGGTTTAAGTAGGGGAGGATGATGGGGGATGTTATTTGGGATGAGGTTATTTTTGGGTGGTGGTTGTTAGTAAGAGGTGTTAGGAGATTATGGGGTAGAGGAAAGGAAAGGAGAATGAGAGAGAGATTAAGGATGAAGATGGAGAGGGGATGTTAAGGGGTTGAATTAATAGGTTTGGAGGGGGAAAGGGTAGGGGGAGTGTGGGGGGATGTGTGGTTATGATTATGTGTGTATATGGGGGGGGACCCCAAAAGGAAAGTGATAGGTAATGGGGAAAAGGAATAATGTGGGGTAGATGGCAGACAATAGATGCTAATTCATACTGATGGGGTCGCTTTGGGCTGAGAGCTGATTGGCTGAGCGGGTGGTCCTGTCTCTATTTCACTTTTATGTCTGAAAAATGTGGTTTAAAGATGTGACAGAGGCCAAAACACATGAAAAAACTACATATAGAAGCATTTTTTTATATATATAGCGAGAAAAAAATCTATGTTGTGACATGGTCTAATATTTGTTGTTGTGAAAGTTACATACCCCAGCTTTAAATAGCATCCACAGACATATAAACTTACCAGCTGCGAGACACAAGGGCAGGAGAAGCCGAAACGCGAGCCCGCACACCACCTCCGAAGCCATCGCACCAGGACCCGGGGAGGGGAACCAGGAGATGCGGGTCCCTCTCTCACGGCTGGCGTCTCATCCTCTTCCCCGCGCGTCGGTTCCTTTCTCCGCGTGGATCCACTTCACAAAGTCATCCACTCATCCGCGCGCAGGACGTCCCCTAGTCTCCAACAGTCCCTCTCCAGATGACGCATGGCACCGGCAGCGCAGACCCCGGGTTCGTGCGTAAAAGTCCAGAAATCCAACTAGTCTTATGTGGACAAATACGCAAAAAATAGTCAAATTACGCGCGTTTAAAGTACTTCTGTGGGGTTGAGGCGACGCCAGGGGTCGGGGAGGAGTGGGAGAAGTTGCTACGTGCGTAATTGGTGTCTTCCCCTTCGCGTCCAGATGCCTGAGTTTTGAGTTGGTGAGTGCGCGGACCGCTAAGCTGGGGCGATACGGGGAGAGACGAGAGGTTCGGCCAATCAGGAGGCGGAGAGGCCAAGGTAGCCCCGCCCCCTCTGGGATAATTGGGAAGAAGAGGTGGGTCTTGTTTGTTGCCAAAAGAGAAAAAAAAAGGAAAAAGGTTGAGTTCAGAGAGATAAGAGTGAATGAAGCAGTTATACACACGACGCTGCAGTGAGGGTCCGGGATATACTGGTACTGCTACTCGCTACTGCTACTGCTACTGCTACTCGCTACTACTGCTACTGCTACTGCTACGCGCTACTGCTAGCAACTACTACTGCTACTAGTACTGCTACTGTACTACTACTGCTACTGCTACTGCTGCTACTGCTGCTACTGACTGCTAACTAGTACTGCTACGCACTACTACTTACTCACTAGCTACTGCTACTTGCTGCTACTACTAGCTACTACTGCTACTAAGTACTGCTACTACTACTACTGCTACTTGCTACTGCTGGCTACTACTGCTACCTCTGCTTACTTCAACTGCTGCAACTACTGCTACTGCTACTGCTACTGCTAACTGCTTAACGTGCGACTCACTATTCTACGCGCTAACTGACGGGGGGGGGGGGGGGTAGGGGGGGGGGGGGGGAGGGCTGGGGGGGGGGGTGGGGGGGGGGGGGGGGGGGGGGGGGGGGGGGGGGGGGGTGGGGTGGGGGGGGTGGGGGGGGGGGGGGCACTACACTACTACTTAACTAGCTGCAAACTACTACTGCTTCGGCGGACTGAGCAACACACTACTGTGCACTAGCCGGGGTAGGGGGGGGAGTAGGGGCAGGTGGGGGGGGGGAACTTGGGGGGGGAGGGTATAGGGTGTGGGGGTTGGGATGGGGGGGGGATGGGGGGGTATTGGGGTTGAGGTGGGGGGTAGTGGGTGCGCGAGGGGGGAGGGGGGGGTATGGGGAGGGGGGGGGGGGGGGGGTGGTGGAGGGGGGGTGGGGGAGGTGTGGGGGTTGGGGGGGGGGGGGGTGGGGGGGGGGGGGGGGGGGGGGGGGGGGGGGGGGGGGGGGGGGGGGGGGGGGGGGGGGAGGGGGGGGGGGGGGGGGGGGGGGGGGGGGGGGGGGGGGGGGGGGGGGGGGGGGGGGGTGGGGGGGGGGGGGGGGGGGGGGGGGGGGGGGGGGGGGGGGGGGGGGGGGGGGGGGGGGGGTGGGGGGGGGGGGGGGGGGGGGGGGGGGGGGGGGGGGGGGGGGGGGGGGGGGGGGGGGGGGGGGGGGGGGGGTGGGGGGGGGGGGGGGGGGGGGGGGGGGGGGGGGGGGGGGTAGTATGGGGGGGGGGGGGGGGGGGAGGGTGGGGGGGGGGGGGGGGAAGGGCAGAGGGGTGGGGTTGGGGGGAGGGGGGGGGGGGTGGGGGGGGGGGGGGGGGGGGGGGGGGGGGGGGGGGGTGGGGGGGGGGGGGGGGGGGGGGGGGGGGGGGGGGGGGGGGGGGGGGGGGGGGGGGGGGGGGGGGGGGAGTGGAGTAGGTTGGTGCTACTTCTACTTACTTACTATTGGCGGCTAGAGAAACTACTACGTGCTAACTATACGGGCTACTCACGAGCTCATCTTCTACTGCTGCTACTACGGCTACTCGCTAGACTGCACACTAAACTGTGCTACGGTCTTGCAAGCTCCGCGTTAGTACTGACTACTACATTAGCTACTGACTTTGCACTAGGGAATGGAGCATACTAGCGAATGCTCACTGCTACTCTGCGACTATTACTACGACTTGACTACTACTACTATGGCCACGTCCCTACTGCTACAGCTAACTCGACTTATCTGAATACTGGCGAAACTAGACTACTAGAGACTACTTGACACTCTATACTAGGAACTACTGCTACCTAACTCCTCCTACTGTCACTAACTCTGGTACTACTGACTACTAACGTCGGACGTACAGACTACTACTGACTGGATAATTACGTATATTACTGAGCTAAGTTAGAAGTTACTTGCAGCCTTAGTCTGGGTCTCTCACTACTACTAGAAAGCCTCCAGCTTGTAGGAGCTTGCTGGGGGGGGGCGTAACCTGGCTACTTCGCCAACAGGTGGCTGCAGCTGAGGTTGTGGACCTCGGTAAACAGGTCTGCTACAGGGTAGGGGGAACCTACCCAAGCAGGAACGGGGACCTACTACTCTGGCTTCCGAGACATACTACTACTGCCCGGGGGGACTAGTGATCCAACTGGGGGCCTCAGGAGGGCACTAGTCTTGCGTTGGGTGGGGGGTGTACGCTACGTGATAGAACAGAGTAGGACATTAAAGACTAGCCCTCAACCTGCGATACGGCTTTTGAATTTACTTCTTAAGTCGCGTCTTGTGCAAATCTGTCTTTACGAAGTGCGAGGTCCTAAGAAATCTCCTCGTCATGATGACTCAAAGTGTCACTTAG